TCACTTTTAAGAACACTCATCAAACCAATTGAGTGCAACGATTGAATAACATCCAAGACGTCTTCTCTCTTATCTGGTATAAAGTAATTATCATTGTCCTTACCAGCAGACATTACATCAGAGAGGGTCAGTATATTCTCTTTCCTTTCCTCTAGTAGACCATACATCATGTGACAATAAAGACTCAAATTCCTTCCACTTGTACTACGAATCGACTCACAGGCACTACATAACTTATTAAAGAAGGAATCGACGTCACTCCCACCAAGCTTACGACAATCTAAAAAGACACTATCACACCTTTCCCTTCCAATAGTCTCCTGTATTTCTTCCTTTCTCCTTTTCCTTTCAAAAGGATTAGTGAATATCTCATCCACATGACTGACTATTATTACTACATGGCATTGATTAAGAGCTTTCTGTGCTTCATTTCTCACAACTGTTACCCACTGATGAAGCTGTTTCACTGCTTCCTTCTCTAATATATTGACTACTATCAGGAACACACCACCAGAACCTTGTAACAGATTCTCAATCACAGCACTGTGACTGGAGTAGTATTCTGAATGACCAGCAAAATCATGAAGAATGATGTTACCCAGTGTCCTGTGTTGTAGTTTATAAGGAATGATGCCAGCAGTACAGGCCACTACCCCTCCAACATTTCTAAAGGAACCAAGAGCAATAGAACTAATAGCTGTGTTCTTGATGACGTGACTAAGAGTACTTTTACCAGCTCCAGGATTACCCACAAGGAGGACGTTAACATAAGAATCAATTGGATGAGATGATTTTATGTCACCAAACTTCTTAAAGACAGAAAGAATATCAGTGTGACCTCTCTTATTAGCTAGTGTAATTGGTATTCTCCCCTTACTGTCTTTAGCCAATGGATCACATTTACCAGTTGATAGTAAATATTCAACAGCTGCAGATTTACTCCAATCAGCAGCCCAGTGAAGAGGTGTCCACCCCATCCCGTCAACAGTCATTGGATCACAGTGACACTCATCAATGAGATATCTCATCACATCAACATGATTACCTCGTGCAGCCAAATGAAGACAAGTCCAATCCATACCATCTCTTTCGTGTGGGTCACAGTGATATTTAGTGATGAGATCTTTTGTAACATCTAACCAGCCATTCCTTGAAGACCAATGAAGTAGACCGTCCCTTCCTCTTCTAATTTTATTCTGGTCCTTCACTAATGGTAGTAAGCGAACAGCTTCTTTATGATCTCCTCTCTCAAACTCATCCCTACACTTGTCCTCTAAGGACATCTTGTGATCAGTTAATTAGATTCATTGATACCAGCCCACACACAGAGCAGGAATTCATTAATCATGATAGGCAGCATAATAATGACACTCACTCCTCTCTTATAAATATTACATACATTTGGAATTAAAGACAAAGATAATTATAACAATACAGTTAATAATAAGTGTACGTGTATTTTGTATTTTTGTGTTTATTTCTTCTTTTCCTTTCCCTTCCCTTTCTTCCCTCCTCCATCATCCTCTCCCATTGCTTCTTTGATAGCTTTAGCTCTCTTCTTTCCAAGAGGAGTCTTGTTAAACCAAGCCTACATTAACAAAAAAGGTATAAAATAATTATTAGTTCTATTTATACTATAATTACACATGTACATGTATGTACATATACATTTGTAGATTATTTTTAGTAACAAGGTTCTCAGTATTAATTTGCATCAACACTGAAGATTAGGGTTCTGCCTATAATACATGTACTACATGCAGATGCTATTTTTAGTAACAACTAACAAGGCCCCTAACTTATACACTGCTATACATACTATTTTTAGTAACAAGGTTCCTAAACAGTTCTAATAATAGGTTTACTTTCAGGGGCGGATCCAGGATTTTGCAAATGGGGGGGTTGCGAGACAAAATGGCGCGCGAAGCGCGCCGAAATTTTGGCCACGCCCCCCTTTTCGGCGCTATTTTGTGGTTAAAATCACATGAAAATCAACTTTTCTACCATTTTTGGAGCTCATTCTTTGTTAATTATATTCATTAACCACAGTAATGTTGCTATATAAACAAGGTGGTTAGCACTTTCACCACTGTTGCAACAATAAAAACATTAAAAATTTTTTGAGTTAGAATGTTTTGGGGGGGTTGCAACCCCACAAACCCCCCCCCTAGATCCGCCCCTGACTTTGTAGAAAGTTTGAGCTGATTCCGACTCCAATTTTTCAAGTTACGGCCATTTAAGAAAATGCCAAAAATTTGAAAAATACCCAAGGCTATAGCCCATAGTTTTTACAAAAAGTTGCTTCAAAATCACCCCAAATTTTTATTACATTTTTTGATACATATTGATGTTCTTATGCTGTGTAGAAAGTTTGAGCCGATTCCGACTTTAATTTTTTAAGTTACGGCCATTTTAGGAAAACACCAAAATTCTAAAAAATACCCAAGGCTATAGCCCATGGTTTTTTCCAATAAATGGCTGAAGAATGACCCCCAATTTTTATTACATTTTTCTGATACCTATTAACGTCCTTATAAATTTGAGCTGTATCCAACTTGAATTTTTTGAGTTACGACCATTTTAAGAAAACGCCAAAAATTTGAAAAATTCAAAGCCATTTTTTGGAAAAAACCATGGGCTATAGCCCATAATTTTTTCTGAAAAATGGCTCTGAAATCACCCCAAATTTTTATTACATTTTCTAATGCATATTGATGTACTTATGCTGTGTAGAAAGTTTGAGCTGATTCCGACTTAATTTTTCAAGTTACGGCCATTTAGTAGAATAGTAGATATTCCTTCAGCATTTCTATTCAATGCTGTCTCTCATTAATGCTGTAATGTCACAAGTCATAACAATGATAATAACAACTGAAAAAATTCACTAACAAGAACATAAAAATTATATCTAAAAAAATTAAGTAGGATTCTAGAGAAAATTCATAAAAAAGTAATGAAAACAAGGGATTCTGAATGATCAATGAAAATATGAAATGAAAATCCTACTCTAGTGATGCAAATTCAGTATGATCTATGACTAGTCTCGTGTAGCCCATAGATACTGACATACCTTCAGCATCCCTCTTTCCCAATTCCTGCTACATTGCAAGGTGATCCGTATAATGATATTGAAAGTACAATGTAGAGTAGAATTTGCCTCATGAGAGTAGGATTTTCATTTTGTATTTTTGTTGGTCGTTTGGAATCCTACTTGCCCTTGTTTCCATTAATTTTTAATGAATTTTCTTTAGAATCCTATTTAATCTTGTTTTTTTTTAATTCTTTAAATAATGGGCTTTCTGTGTTTTGTCATTGGGTCAGTCATGTACATGTACATGTATATCAAATTCATATTGAGCAAAGTTATTTGGTATGTCACCCCTCCAAATTCCAGTCCATTAATAATTAATGCATAGTAAGCTAGTTTGCAGCAACCTGCTAGCCTCTCCTGGATGGAATCTGGGACGTGTGTGTATCTGATGTGTGAATCCTGTGATGTATATCTGGTGGTGTATCTCATTCGTGTAAGTTTTAATATAGAATCATAAATATATATATGTGGTTATCTCAGACTCAGTGTTCTGTCACCATCCACTTCTGAAGGTAACTTTGTGGTTACTTTGACCTAAAATCAACAAAATGATTCCATGCAGTCAACAATGAAAGAATCACCACAATGTTGCCTTCAACAGATGTTGGTTGTTCATTGATAAGAGCCTCATACAGGCAACTTGTTGCTGACAAATCGTTGCCTGTATATGAGGGGCTTTGTAGGTAGAAAAATAGAGCTTAACTCAAACTCACTTATAATCATAAATCAAAATATACAACTTAGAGTGGTCAATATGTTGCTAACAAACAGCTTTTATTTGTTACCCTTGATTATTGTGTTATATATAGTCCACTCTTTAGGATGTGCCACAATTGAGATATACAATTAGAGTACCACTGCAAGACATGTG